CCCCCCCACGGGTGCTGTCAGCGTTCGTTAGCACCCACCAAGTCCAAAGCCAAGGCTTCTTGGTGCTCCTCTCAAAGACCGGGCTAGGGAAACTCAAAGTTGCCTTTTGGGGACATCCCAAGCTCCCGGGGTACCGGCCTGGGGCCCACCACCCCCCATGTCATTGCTCCACCTCAAGCTTTAGCTGGTTGAGATTCATTCGGTGCTTGCTGAAGCTCATTAGCCACTTGCTGAACCTCATTAGCCGCTTGCTGAAGCTCGTTAGCCACCATTGGAGCCAGCCAGAGCCCCCAGAGCCCCCAACTTCCACGCAGGGTCACAAATTTTTAAGCTGTGCCCCGGCTTCGGCAGGGCCACCGGGCCGCAAGCGGGCTCTGGGTGGGTACAGTACCCACACCAGCGTTAGGATGCCTATTCTACGATGATACATGAAAACTAATAAATTAAAAAAATTCAAGCCCACCTGTCCTACCAGTGTCTTTGCCGCGTCCTGCACCGTTCCCTCATCCCTTCTGCGTTGCGAAGGCTTCAGCAACTTTCCGTACGCCCTCCCGGGCTGCCCAACACGGAAACACGCTGGATTTCATCCAGCCCCAGCAACCGCGCGTCGGGTGGGCTTCTGCCCGGAGCCCGGTGCAGCGGGAGAGGTGGTTCAGCACAAGGCCTCGGCACAGCCCTCCTGCTTGGGGGAGCACCGGACAGACGGCTTTATCCCGGCAGCTCCGGTGAAGCACCGCCTCGTGCAGCCGGTTGGTTTGCAGCAGCGGGGACAGAAGGCAGCCGATGGCCTCGCTGCAATGGCTGACAAAGTCAAGCCTATTTCTGGGCTTGGGTTTAGCACCAAAAACCAAAAGTTGAAGCCAGCGTTGCATGACCCTGTCACAGTCCGCCCGCGGTGGCACGGCCACGCGCTCGCTCCCCAACCCGAGCAGCAAGAGAAGTGAGAAAAGCCCTGGGCTGAGACAAAGACAGTTTAATAAGTGAAGAGGGGAGGGGAAAAAAAACCCCACCAAAAACCCCCAAGTGATGCAAATGCCCTCCCTCACCACCTCCCACACCCACAGCGATGCCCAGCCACGCTCCGAGCTGGCCCAGTTTTGGTTGCAGACCATGATGCTCCATGGTGCGCAGCACCCTTTGGTGCACAGCACCACACCCCTCCCGGCTTCTCGCCCACCCCCAGCCCACTCGCTGGGGCCGGAGCAAGAGCAAACCCTGACACTCCACAAGTGCCATTCGGCGACAGCAAAACCCCCGGTGCGCCATCG